CTAACAAAATATCTCTATCAATCGTTTCAAATGCCCTCTTCAAATCCAAAAATACTGCTATGACAACTTCTTCTGAGTCTATGGCTCTTCTCCAATTCTCAGTTACCAGCTGGAAAGCTGTTTCTGTGGAATATTTTTTTCGAAAGCCTGCTTGCGCCTCCACTAAAATTTTGTTTTCTTCTATAAACTGCATTAATTGGTCATGCACTATGGACTGTAATAATTTTTCAATGTCTGGTAACACATTTACTGGTCTCATATCGCTGCATCTTTTAGAATTTTTTATTTTAGGAACTGGTATTATTATAGAGCATTTCAAATTTTCAGGAAAAGAACTGCTTCTCACTGAACCAATTTGATCCAATTTAATACAGGATATCCCAAAATTTCGAAACAGTTTTTCAGCACGTTTTTAGTAGTGATTTCGGCACAGTTGTTATTTGATTTTAAACTTTTTTTCTTAGATAATTCAATGATACGCTGTGAAATTTTGAAAGTGTATGCAACATTTCCCCCTGGAAACTGATTTTCATATAGTCAGGTGCAGCATTGGCAGTACCTACAATATCAACAATACTTTCCACAAAATATTCATTTAGTTTGTTTGCAATCGCCAAAGAATTTGTTTCGGTACCGTTTTCGAATTGAACTTGATTTACACAATCATGCGGCTTCGAATTGATCAGCCTTCCACATCTTTACACTGTCGCACTTGTTATTATCGATTTGTTTATCGTAGAATTTCCTTTTTTCTTCTCTAATTTATTCCTAAGAGTTTTATATACCTCCCAATCATCATTTGATTTTGTGAATATACATTTATTGTATTGTTTGTCTCTCAAATTTTGAGCTGCCTTAATATTCTTGTTATACCAGGGTGTATTTTTTGTCGAGCAAATCACTTTTTTATCAGTTGCAAGATCTAAACAAGTTTTTATATTTCCTATTATGTTGTCATATATTTTTTCCATATTCTCACCAAAATTCCAATAGCAGCCAGCAAGTTCTCGTTCAAGTTTTTCGTACTTAATAGAATTTACGATTTTGTTAATTTTTGTATCAGAAAAATGCCCTAACAAGGGCAGCATTGTCCAACTATGATCGCTAACTTTAGGTGTATGTACAGCTTTAATCCTTGCACATTCGAAATTTACAATAACAAGATCTAACAAAGAATCTGATAATGATGTTATTCTGGTACTCTCTTCAATTTTTTGCTTGAACCCATAGTTGTTTATGGTTTCTTTCAATTTTCTTGTTTTCATGCTTTTACCATAATAATTTAAATTAAAATCACCTAAAAGTATTATACGTATTGTTACTAAAATTCCACATTTCTTCGCATTTTTCTTCAAAAAACGTTAAAAATGTATCTGCATCACTGTTTGGTGAACGGTAAAAAGTACAAAGATCATAACGTTTCCCAAATAATTTGAACTGTATATGTGCATACCAGTATGCATAGTCTAAAGTGGTACAATCGAATAATGTGATGTGTATTTTGTGGTAAACATAAATCACTACACCTCCAGTATGTCTGGAGTTGGAGTTGCATCTGTAGGTTTTATAATTAGTAATTTGTAATTCACCATCAGTGATGTCTTCTGTAGTGTGTTGAAAGTCAGTACTCTCCGCACGCTGGTAGAAAAATATTTCGAAGATGGTCCTTGTAAATGCCCCTTAAAATATGTGCCGATATTAGGTTCCACGTATTAATTACAGCTCTGGTTTCGTAAAAGATCGACAGAATCATGTAAATTAAATTTAGTCATTTCAATTCCCGGGTATTTAACAATTAGCTATATTGGCGACGATGTAGAATCTCAAGGGAAGCTTTCCCTGTTGCCGTTAACATTGCGGTAGGCTACGTATGGTGAGGAGAATTGTACCCCTCTGTGTGTTGAATTGACGACTCCAGGGAAATTAATAGTTTTAATTGCGCCGTCCTACGAGTAAGCCTGCAAAGGGTAGCACGGTCAAAGTGAAAATTTAACTTCATTTCAGTATGACTTTTGACAAAATGAGGCATTATTGTTGCTTCAAAGCTGGCTTCTCATGTAAAACATTTATGTTGTTTACTGCCGAGCAAGGTGATACCAGAACCCGAACTCGTCAGACGATGTCGATGTATTGTAACTAAAACAACGCTTTACGTCATAGTCTAATTTATTGCTTTTACACTAATTTATCACAATAGTTTCAACTAATTTGACAAATTTATATCAATGTACACTGGACTATGGCTTGCTGATTCATCCGACGCTGACCGTTGACTGTCTCCTTTTCGCATCTCGGTCTATATTTATTTCCCTATCTACGAGTCGGGAAATACTCAAACGTTTTCCAGGCAGAGTCGCGAACTTTTGCGGAAGTGGTCTAGATGACAGTAGATTCATCTCGATGAGGCCGATCGCTTTCGAAGCTTCTAGTCGATGTACGAGTCTCGCTGGTTCCCAGAGTTCAAGTTATACGAGGGCCTCTGTGGTAGCTCAAAAAACAGTTCAATATGTGATCACAAGAAAGAAATACCAACGGGAAATTGTGTAAAAGGAGATCTATAACAGCACATGAGCTTCTCCCCCAAATCAAGTTGTTCCCAAGATGAAGAGGTGCGCTGAAATGTATATGGAGAAAACAAGGGTTGATACTATTGAAAGTGAGTACAAAATGTAGTGATTATAAACAGGAGCTACGGAGATTATACATAAGGAAGTATGTGTTCATATACATATGTTGTATGGACTTTTTTATAGATGCTAGCTCGTGTTTATAGCATTAGTTTTGTTTCTCTTGAAAGTGTTTCTGTTAGATTTAAAAGTCGTTTTTATGCTTTTTTGCACTTCAGTGCATTACAGATCTCGATCTTGAGAAGTGGGGACAACCTGGTCGTATCACAGAAATCCATTTATTCCACTACTGTAAACTTTGTATGTTCCCATCCTTTCTCAACTTGACAATTCATTGGCTGTTGCTGATATTTGATCTAGTAATCTCTCTGAAAAAATTTTATACATAACGATTCCACAAAAAGCGTTGTCAAGACAGCAGAAATGACAGACTTCGAGAATTGCAGGACTTACTGTATAGCGGGTTATTGAAGAGCCGGCCATTGGGCCTATATAGGAATAAATAGATCATTATCTATCAAATAATTTTATTTATAACATGTAAAATATCTATTTTAATACATCTGGCTCAAGCTTCTTTTAATGATATACATATACTTAGTTCTGTATCAGTTATCTGCACTATGTATTGCTCGCTAGTCACCGGTTTTATAAAATAATTATTTACAACAAATCTTAAATCGGGCTACGATAGAGGCACAATATATTTATTGAAAACTTAACACGATATATAGCTGATTATGATAATTCCATTATCTAATATATCTATTTACACAGATATAAATTTACTAGCTCGAGTTATATTGGAGTTTTTCGAACAGACATTATATATTATATGGTTGCTAGCAACTGATAAATATAAGGGCTTTATACATATATACTTCAAAATGTATAGAAAAAACACAAGTTATCTATTACTAATAGTGCCTGCTGTATCAATGTAACAATAAGAGGAATCAATTTACTCCGTGTATCAACATTAAACGTGAACCTTGAAGTTGTCTGTTATATATAATAAATTAAACTATGTATAATAAGTGGGAAAAATATTTACTGCTAACAACGTGGATATCTTTTGGCCGTTTATACACGGTGTCCCAGAAATAATACGCTAGAGTGTCACAGGAGGTAGATTGGTTCAGATCAATCAGATCAAATCAACATGACCTAGGTTTTCTAGTTTTCGAGCTATTGGCACTTTTAGGTTTTTTCAGAAAATTACTACTTTTTGCTCCTTTTTGCCTGTTATGGCTATTAAGAACTTCTAACGTATGAGTTCTTTTCTGGGCTACCATTAATAGTTGATTGAGACAATTGAATATTTCATTGAAAACTAGCAAAATATGCTAAACAAAATTAATACGTTTTGTTTCAATGTGATAACCTTTGCTAAGTTTTCACCAATTACTGTGAAAACAATGTACCAGACTGAAATTATAATGTATAATATTTGTAGGTCGTAATACTTGCGAAATACATACTACAAATAAAAAAAAGTGCAGCAGTCTTTAGTATCCAAATCACTAAGGAATGAAACGACCTAAACAGCGAAAGAGCTAAATAACACGTTTGTAGCACTAACACAAGGAGCAGTATTAAAATAACCCTGCGCGTGCCGTAGCAGGTACCACCTCTGTTCCTCCAGGTGACATAATGCCAGCAACCGAACAATGAATGTGAGAACGAGATAGTCAATGACATGTTTAAGACGTTTCATTACTTAGTGGTTTGGATACAGAGGACGGCTGCACTTATCTTTTATTTGTAGTATATCGCAAGTATTACGACTTCGATGACAAAACTTGGGTTTATTCAATTTTTAGTAGAAAGAACCTACAAGTATTATAGATGCTATTTTCAACAGAGCATTGAACAAGCTAGTTTTTAAGAATATTTGCCGATTCAGTCTGGTATATTTTTTCACAGTAATTAGTCAAATTTTAGTAAATCTTTTCACATTGGAACAAAATGTATTAATTTTTATTAACATACCGTTCTAGTTTTCAATGAAATGAATACTCGATTCTCTCAACCAATTATTAATGTTAGTGCAGAGAAAAACTCATTAGTTAGAAGTTCTTAATAGCCATAACAGGTAAAGAAGGAAGCAAAACGTAGTCATTCTTTTAAAAAACCTAAGAGTGGCAATATCTCGAAAACTAGAAAACTTTTACCAAGGTCATGTTGACTTTATCTGATTGATCTGAAGCCAGTCTATCTACCGTGTTACTCTGGCGTGTTAGTTCTGGGACACCCTGTATATCTTCTTGTTACTGTAACAGTAAGCAATAGTTCTTATAGTGCAAAACCTGATGGGATGCGTACTGCCATTTCGATCCACATTCATAGTAATCATATTTTTAAAACAATAATAGGCTCATAAAGCGTTGACATTCATCTTTAAAATAAACTATTCTCAGACCTAGATGTTCACCTAAATGGCGGCCTTTCTACAAAACCGTTTTCCGTTAGCCCCACTAAAAAGAAAATTGCACGAAATCTCTTAAAGCGGTATTCCACTAAACGAACTGTTGAGTTTATGTTGTGTTTATCTTTTCTAAACTCTGAAAAACAAAAATAAAACTGAAACAAACTCAAAACTTTGGTTTCTATCAAGCGGACTACGTTTCGGTCGAGTTTTGTTTTTGTTTTTGTTCCAAAAAACGAGAAAAATTGGTTAAAATTGCAGATCCACTCCAAATGTTGACTATTTTATCAGGAATACAGACATTTGCAATTGTTTCAAAGTTTTCGCCAGAGATGACGCTAGTGTGTATTGAAGTTCTGTCATGAATAATGTCATATTGCAGTTGCGGCTTGACTTTCAAAGCGTATACTTACATTTTTCTGAAGAATAACGTCATGGAGCAAAGCACTCTAATAAATGACTGATCATGTTAATCAAGAATAGTGATATACAGGGTTTGTCCGGAAAGTAATAGGACTCATTTTTTTCCGCCAAGACTGTACGTCGGAGCGTGCGCGCACCGACTGGATTCGGTAGAGGGCGTTTCTAGCTAACGAATGAGCGGCTGGTCAGTTGTCTCCGAGCACTTGGAGAATCAGGACAGGCATTTTCGCGCGACGTGTATCTGTGAGTGGTGCAAGCTGAAAATGCAGCGTTCGTTAGAGCAGAGGTACGCGATTAAATTCTGTGTGAAACTCGGTAAATCTGCGACAGAGACGTTTGATATGATCAAGCACGCTTACCCAGGTGTTGCTTTAGCAAGAAGTGGTGTGTCTCGGTGGCACCAGGCCTTTTTGGAGGGCCGGGAAGAGGTCGCTGATGAAGACCGTGCTGGAAGACCTTCGACTTCGACAAACACCGATAATGTGACTCGTGTGCGCAAAGTTTTGAACTCAGACCGTCGAATTAGTATTCGTTTAATTGTCCAGATGTTAAACTTACCAAAATCTGTGGCTCTTGACATTGTGACTCAGCTTTTGAACATGCGCTAGGTGTGCGCGAAGATGGTCCCAAAAGTGCTCACTGACGACCAGAAATTGCGTCGAGTGGAAGTGTGCCAAGAAAATTTGAACATGTGTGAAAGTGACCCCCAATTTTTGGATATCGTAATCACAGGTGACGAATCGTGTATCTTTGAGTATGATCCCGAGACAAAGAGGCAATCTTCCGAGTGGCACACGACGGCGTCTTCTCGCCCAAAAAAGGGAAGTATGAGCAAATCCAAAGTGAAAACAATTCTCATTGTCTTTTTTGACATCAAAGGCATCGTCATCCATGAATTTGTGCCTCCTGGACAAACCGTCAACGCCAAGTTTTACGTGAAAGTGCTCAGGAGACTCAAACGAAGGGTCAGTCGGGTCCGACAAGACATCGCAGCCGACTGGAACGACAACGCCCCGGCTCACTCCGCCTTTCTTGTTAACACCTACCTGACCAAGGCCGGCATCCCAACGCTTCCGCAGCCGCCCTACAGCCCAGATGAGGCCCCCCCGGACTGAAAAGGCCGATGAAAGGCAAGCATTTTGAGACGACAGAGGGAATCCAAGCAGCTTGCACCGCGGCTCTCAAGGCTATTCCCGAGAATGCCTTCCGTGACGCCTTCAATGCTTGGTAATCGCGCTGGCAGCGCTGCATCGACGCAGAAGGAGCCTATTTTGAAAGTTTTTAAAGAATTGTAACGATTGGCTCACTAATTTTTTTTAAATCGACTTAGTCCTATTACTTTCCGGACAAACCCTGTAAAGTGCACTGTGACTATCTTCCTACAACATAAAAATACAATGTTGAAATATTAAGGGCTAGAATCTCAACATTCTGGAACATTTTTCTACAAAAACTCATACAGTGAGACTGATTTTCGTAAAGTTGGGGTAGATAAAAAATCTTATTGAAGGTCTAAGAAAAGCAAAGCAACAAAAAGAGGTCCTAGATTTACTCTGAATAAGGCATACAAACATAACATTCCCATTTCCGAGAAAAAGAAAAGCGCCTCACTGCTATGAGGGATTTCACAATAATTTGTAACCAATTTGTGTACTGTACTTTTTTTTCTGAACTTACCTTTAATTTTTTAGTTCCACATAGCCTTTAAACCGTTGTTAGTTGTGTATCGTTGGTAATAATACTAAAATAAATTTTCCCTCTTTATTCTGTAACCACGAATTATTTGTCATATATTTTTTAGGAATGCATTATCTTTTTTTTTTAGGTATAATGGCACATTCCTGTAAAGTTGCAAAAAAGTAGTAAGACGGGATATTTTTGAAAACATACTGATCTTTTGTTCAATGAATCTGAAAGTTCAATAAACCTTATTTAATTGATAATTTTTAAATCCAAATTATTAACTTTATATTCAGTTATCCGAAATTGTTCTTCAAAAAATATTAAAAATGCCTCTCCTGAAAAAAAGCTTTTTTTAACTAGTGTCACTATTCTTGAAAAACAGCGATATATGTCTATAAACTATCCGGGCAGAAAATTTGCAAAGTTAAACACAAACATTTGAGATTAAATTTCTGTTAAAGATCGATTAGCAGTAACAAGGAGGTTACTTGCTACAAGTAAAGGCTTAATGCACTCAAAACAAATTTATTATCTATAAAAAAATAAATACATTATTTATTTATCTACTAATTTGCTGCAAAGTTAGTATTCAGACTACCATGGTGAAAATAGTATACACAACACATTTCCACTGAACAAACTCGAGTTTCAAAACACGTCGAAACCTTTAGATGTGGCGCTTCCGAGTGGGACGCAAAAAACTAAACTCAAACTGTCGCAAAACACGCCAGACTCCAAAAGTATCCGAAAAGTTACAGCTTTATTTATTCAACACGGGTCTGTGTATTGTTTTTGTTTTGTCCCTTTAGTGGAAAACCGTCATTAGGAGTTACGTTATAACCCCTAGTGACACAACCATACATTCTAGCTTTATTTTTTTATTTTCAAATCCCATAGAAATGAATTTTGTCTATTTGTTCATAGCTCTATTGCCGCGATCTAAACGAACTTCAACTATGATGCTACAAATATTGAATATTCAGTGTAGGTTATTTCCTTTAAATATTGATATATTTATTCCTATCAATACATAAAATATAGTTATTAGTATTTTGTCACATCAAAACTTTATTATCAATCGAATATTATTGCGGTTTGGTTCTACTCTTTAGTTACAGGAGAATAGACAGTTTTGTAAATACGAAAATAAAATTTTGTTTGGACTACTGGAAATATGAGACGAAATAGTCGGTTGCAGAACATGTTCCAATATGCTCATCTTTCTTACTTTGTCTTTCAGTATACAGGCTGCTACCGAAGGTATTAAATATGGATTATGTTCACTCACTTAGCTGCTCATAGTTACAGATTTCGGCCAGTTTGAATTTTCCATAAATCCTTCTATCACTAGCAAGAAAATTTTAATCTCAATTCAACTGCTTATAAAACCCCAAAAAATGCTCCAGTTAGATCACAAGTTGCTATTCACTATACAATTCAATGTTCAATTTGAGCCACGCTCAGTAACCTCTGTTGACACCCGGCATAGACTGTTTAATGTACGAGTATGATTAAAAAATATCATAAATGTCTGAACCGACCCTGAAGTCAACTCCCAAAGAAACAACTTTGCTTCAACTACATCTAAAGTTCAGCTACTTTGCCAGTTATCGCCAGTGATCCAACACACTCCTCCAGTTCAGTTACTCTACTTAGGCCTAGGTGGTGGTTGAGGAGGTAATGAAAATTGTCTGTGAGGAGGTACAGACGAACGGGTAGGTATAGGAGGTGGTGGTCCACCTAGAGACATCTGGGACCTCAGAAGTCCTGGTGGAGGAGCTGGTGGTGCAACCTAAAATAACAAGTTCCACATAAATATACATATACATAGGCGCAGATACTAAGGGAATAAAAGAACTTGGCAGCACGCCTATGGAAAAGTGGTTTCTGCTAATTTCGCAAAATTTGAGTTTTTACTTCCGAGAGATTTATAGAAAATTCCGTGATATATAACATCTCATAAATTCAGTAATATTAACCGAAACCACTCTGTCATGTAGGACATATGACTGAGTAGAACCCTGACATATCTTCAGACTCGTCGAGTTTTGGGTTTTGTGTGCACTGAAACATTTGTTCAGGACTCCGAAGCTACTTTCCCACATAGAGCAGATGACCGATATCTCAATATACCGACTTAGATGGCCCACATTCTGGGACCCGTTGAGCTTTTGGAATGTTCCCTATGAAACATGCTTCTGGATATCAAGATTCATAGCATTTCATAAATTCAGTGAAGATGACTCTGTAGGACCCATACTCCGTCATACCAAGGCACAGAACATATAGAAAGTTCAGGAAAATTAACCGAAAGTACTCTTCCACTTGAAGCATATATTGAAGTAGAACCTACATCCTTATTATACTGACTTGGACGCCATATAGCTTGAGACTCATTGAGTTTTGGGGGATGTGACCATTGAAGCATTTGTTCACACATGACATATAAAACATTCAGCAAAACTAACCGAAACCACCCCTCCACTTAAAGCAGATATTGGCGGAGAATCGATACCCCATTATACTGACTTGGACGGCCGTTTAGTTTTGAGGCCGAGACACATAACATATACAAAATTCGGGGAATTTAAGCAAAACCAATCTTCCGCTTAAGGCGGCTCCGACGCAGTGAGTTTCAAGCCATTTACAAGGCCTCAGCTGCTTCGAAACTGTCACTACATTTAACAATATTTTTGAATGCATAGAAGACAATTGCCCAGGGTGCTATCGGGGCACTTTTGGATTTTTTTGCACCAGATTTCTGGTGGGTTGAAATGCTTACTTTTTTTGTTGAACTTCGCGATTCTTTTAAGAATTTAGTGGAAAAAATGAAAAAGTGGCTCAGTAGCACCTTGTATAGTATAGTTTTCAGCACACTGTATAAATTTCATCCGAAAATATTAGAAAATGATGCGTCAGTTTCGAAGCGCGCAAACTTCTACAAATCGGATTTTGCGCGAATTTTGCTTACTGTTTTGTGCCGCCAGCCCAAGCGACGCGGCAATATGTACAAACCAAGAAAGGGACGTATTCAGTTTATTTGGTAGCCTTATTTCAGATCATATCGGGTATGTATCATTCTGCAAATAGGTTTTCATAGACGCGATCACTGATGCGAAGTAAATGTTCGTGACTAGTTACGTGAATGTAACTTCTGAACTTTTGCCCCGGTTGTCTCTCAGATCTATCTATCACTGGCTAATAAATGAAACCTAGGATAGTGAATATACTGATTTCCTGTTATTTAGGCTGCTTCTTCAAATTAAAAATTGTTACTCTTCCATCTTAAAGCCGTATTACATCGCACGCCAGTGGCGCGAAAAATTTCGAAAATGGGATGTTATGTTTTTTAGGTCTTATATGACATCTACATCACGAGAAACTATTTCACTCAATTTCCGTCTGTCTGTCTATCTTTTAATTCTATGCGGCTCGGATTTTTATGAAACTTGTACAGATGGATACTACGTGCTGCCGTTTCCGTCCAGCGGCGGCTAAAATAATAAGAGATTTCAGGGGTTTCTAATCATTGTCATAATAAAGTGTACCGCTTAAAAAGTAGGGGTTAGGAAAAGATGATATTAAATGTTGCACCTTTGATATGTGAAACACGTTCTACGAGCCCTAACACAAAAATCTTCGGACATTATCTAATTTTATCTAAAAGTTTGTTTATTTTTGTAAGGTTAAAAATTCTTTGTTTTTCTTTTAGAAGACAATGAAATTTATTTTTTGCACATCATATTAACAAAACGGTTTTTAAGTAATATGATATTGAAATATAAAATCAAACTAATATTGATAACAACGCAACATTTTGCTGACACATAAATGTTCGAACACGATATTAAAAAAAATAATAGCTGGCCACGGAAACAAAAAAGTGTTTACAGTTTGACATTTTTATGAGGTGAGTAGGTTGCATTCAAGAGACAATATATGGCATATTTATTCAGTAAAATATTTGCTTTAGGCAAAAGAAATGCCGTTGCTTACGGAAAAACAAAAGAAAAGGCGATTGTCGTGGGCTAAGGAACGGGCATTATATACTTACGAAGACTGGAAATAGTTAGAGGTGTTTCAAAACATCCGTCATGACCGTTAGACGACATGCGCGGATTCAAATATGTGGAGAAGCGGGAGAAGCAGACGCCTCACAATAAGGAGGATCCGACTTTCTCCGCAAGGGGGATCATTTTTTGCAGCTTCATGACGGCTTTAATGGTAGGCCGCCGCTTATGAATACGGCAAAATTTATAAATTATTTCCCTTATCTCTGCTTCAAACCTGTCCACTGTTGATTTCGGACTTGGTTTAGAAACATTTTTTGCTGGGAAGACAAATTAATTGCCTCTGGGTTTGATCGAACCTTCTTTTACAATGCGTTTGGCTGTATTGACATGTGGCCTCTGCTACTCGATTAGTTCATTTAGAGAAATTACTACCCCTGCCTCTTTTCATGGCCCATACATTGGAAAACATATACCATCTAGGGGCCCTGGCTATGAACAACCTTGTGCTGGTTCTTATCCCTTTTAAGAAAAAATATTATAATAGATCTGTGTGTGATTAGGGTAACATTCTTCCGTCTGCTTTAATATCTGTCTTCTGCGCATCCACATAATGTAACGGTCACGGCCCACGACGTTTTAAAGCACCTCTATTTATTTAAGAGCGGAAAATACACTTTCCGCAAGTGTTATTTATAAGATTTTTTCTACCAGCGTGCGGAAAGTGCTCACTTTCAATACGCATCTGCGTGCAGAAGGTATCGTGCGAAAAAGTGCTAGATACTTTTTAGCGATGAACCGAAAGGAGGTGGGCTGATAAGAGCCATTTTTCGCCCATCAGCGAATATATATATATGAAGAGTGTACTCCATAACAAAGAAGAAAACATACTTATTTCAAATGAAAACAAAAATTCGTGGTATGCATAAATTAACTAATTATCTGAGTTTTATATATGTTTATTAAACAATAATAAAAGATGATCAGTTTGCATACACTTAGTATATTTTTTACTAATCTTCTTCCTTGTCTTCTTCATTCGAATCATTATCAGACCTACCTATACCTTTACTACGTAAATTCTTTTCGAGCGCGAAAAATCATGTCTGAACACGCAGCGATTGCAGGGTGATTCAAACTCTGCCGCAGCATATATTACGTATTTTTGGATTGAAACGCTTACTAAACCAAAACAGTTAAATACTCGTATACAAGCTTATAATAAGTAGACTCACTGAGCATTAAAGTTAATGTGGTTCATGGAACGCTTCATAGGAAAAACATGATTCAAATATCGAAAAACAACAAAAATGCACAAAAAGCGCTAAATACTCTATTTCTTGGCAATAATTTGTCAAGCATATTACATTATTTATACCGTAAATATTATATAATGAAAAAATACACGTCTTGAAGTTCATAAATAAATTCAATAATAGTCTGGAATCGTACTTTTTATTTTTGAGTGTGTTATGGGCGAAAAATGGCCCTTATCAACCCACCTCCTTTGATGTTTGTGTGGGTGACTACCGATCTCGGGCTATAAGAAACAAAAATGAAGCATTTCATAAAGACTGACGAAAGAGAAAAGTAAAGTTTCCATCAGATTTAATAGTATGGAGAAGCATATCTGCTTTTGGCGTTGGAAAACTTCACTTCATAGACGGAACTGTAAACGCAGGTAAATATCACAATATGCTTGAAACCAATTTCCTAGTATCAATTCCAATTTTATCACATGATAGACACTTTATTTTTCAACAAGAGGGGGTGTCATGTCATACGGCCAAGAAATGGTTGCAGGATAATAATATTTCCGTCCTTGACTGGCCTTCCAGTAGTCTTGATTTAAATATTATCAAAACTGTAAGGCATAAAATGAAGCAGCAGTTAAGAAATAATCCGCAACGAAACAGTTCTGATTTATGAGTAAAATTAGAAAATATATGGGATTGTTTTAAGGCAGAAGACTGCGAAAACTTGTTAAAACTACGCAAGCCATAATTAGTGCTGTTATTAAGGCAAATTGAGACGTAACGAGCTATTGAAATAGTTCGTGTCAGCCAAATATTGTTGTTATCAATATTAGTTTGCTTTTATAGCTTAATATCATATTACTTGACATTAATTTTGTTAATCTGATGTGCAAACAATATATTTCAATGTCCCATGAAAGAGAAAAAATATTTTGTAAACTTAAAAAAATAAATAAACTTTAAGATAAAGTCAGATAGATAGGATAGATTTCTGAATTATTTTATGTTACGGCGTTTATCTTATTAAGAAGCTTCTGATCCCAGTAACTAAACATGCATGCACATAGCAGGTCCAATTTTCCACTAGTTGATTTTGATCACAGTTCGAGCCTTGGCCTTTTGTGGTTAATTTTAATCAGTCACCAATCCGCCCACTGAACCGCACTTTGCAGCCGGTCGTGGACTAGGCCACCAGACCATGACTCAGTCACCAACGCAGTACCATCGGTATAGAGATAGACCTCACAGTTACTGGTATGTACAGTGAATAAAACATTGGTCCAAGGATAGAACCTTGAGGGACACCGGCTCTAATGGACAGTGCTGTCGACAGAACATGGTCAATTTTGATTCGAAATTTCCTACCTTCAAGGGAAGATATCAGTAGGTGCATGCAAATTGTCATTACACGGATCTTCCATAAAAAAGGTCTCCCCTTATTAAAAATCCTTTAGGTGGCAAAATCTATTACTTATTCGTTTTTCAGTAACCATAGGAAATAAGTACTCAAAAAATAATTGATATTGAAAGGTAATTAGTGCGAAATACACACCCCAGGAGGCAGCGCGGGTGGTGGATACTTAGGGGGTCCGCCCACAGGTGTCACTGAACCTGGCTCTGGACTACACGGAGGCGGAGGCAGCAATGGACTTGTGGGCGGAAACTCTTGATCATCGCTAGGCTGCTTCTGTACCGACAGTTGCTGCACGGGCAGTGGATTTTTCGGGCCCGTCGGCTGAGCCTGTTGTAGGAAAGCTTCTGGTACTTGTGACTGTTGTGATCGAGCATCCTCGACCGGTTTCTGGGTAGATGGCTCCTAGGGCAACAATTGTTTCAAAATTACGTGAAATAGACCGATTCAAAATTCAGGTAAATATTTTGTATGCCGTTATTCACTGCAGTTTATATAGAATAGAGGAAAGTAATGTCACAGGTTCGTATAGACTAGATAGCGGAAAAGCCTACGGATACATTAATAGCCGAAACACAGGCTAACTCCAAAATACGTCTTGCTTGATTTAGAAAACCCTAAATCTGTGCCGTTAGCCCCTAGATATCACCAGGACGTCATGTTATATTATCTTCAAAATAAAATACTTACTACAGGTGGCTTCTCTACAATGTCATGTGCCTCCTGTTTAGCTACCGCCGTAGGCTCCTGAGGCTGTTCTATGGAAGAGCCTAAGGGCTGTTGCTCCAGCTGCTCTTCTTGTGGCGAATAGACGGGTTGCAGACAAGCAGGGCCGATTGGCAGCACTGTGGGCGGTTTCCTGGGTCCTCCCATTTGGGGTCTTTGGGGGGCGGGCCGATCAGAACCAGCTGCAACGTAGCTGAACACGCATAGCACCGAATAACAAATTTGATCAGCCTGTTAAATAGAAAATTAGTGTAGGTTCTGATCACATCCAACGCAAAATTTTAAAGTACAATGTTGCCCACCGCGACGAAATTTAACAAGCACTGCTATAGTCGACGACCGAAACGTTTTAGTGACACTCCCACAATTCGTGAAGGATCAATACTAAAATTTTACATCCCCAAAAAATTGTTAGAACTTTGGTCAGGACTGCTTTTAAAATTTGCATCTCGATCCTGTAGATACGAGTGTTTAGTCACTTTGTTCATCATTTCTATTTCTTTCAGCGTCACGCAAATGGTTATTATTACATTTCCTGGTATTATATCCCTTGCAATCCGAAAACAATGAATAAAGCAGTGTTCACTTTAGTTGAACAAAACGCGAAAAAGTATAGTTTAGAAATTTCTTATTTTTGATAAAGCCTGACCACTTTTGCCTGGGCGTCATCTTGCTCTTTATTTTGGGGAGCCTCACGAAGGTGTTTGTACGTACTTAACGTTCAATCGCTTAGCAGATATTCTACCCAGTCAGAGTAAAAATGAAAATAAAGTAAATGAAGTTTGCTTACTGTACCGTGCACTAAAGGAGATCGTTTCATGCATCGGGAATATCAACAATATGTGGTGTCATGCAAACAGACAGTATCCGGTGGAAATGATGCAATATCTGGCTAGCCTATAAAATAAACAAAATACAGCTGGAGCAGAACCTGGTGTTCAAAAAAAGATCAATATAAATAATACAATATGTGCATCTATTCTTCTGCAATGATGTAGTCATTCCTTAGTGGCCATGCAAAATCTAAACATAAAATATAACAGTTTCCATAACATATGCATAAACATAATATTATCTTACATGCAAGCTTCATTTTGTCCCAGTTTTGTTAGAGATTTGTTTAAAATCCATCTCTTATGATATTACGGTAATGAAAAAAATTAATGTCTCTTATACCCTTATAATGTGAAATAGTAGCTATGATTGCGATCTGAACGTTTTACGGTAAAAACGATCAAAACAATAAATCTACCGTGAGAACGGAAGGTCTGTCAACGCTGCTCTGCAAGAAGAGAAAGTAGCTCCCGACACTCTAATACGAATCAGCGGTTGGTTGACCGATCGCTTATTCTTGATGCTAGGTGGTAGCGCTCCTAATGCAAGATCGTTGACCTCACCTTGTCAAAAAAGGAGTGAGCTCCTACGGAAACTAGAGGATAGCACTGAAGTGCCATGCTCCGACTGGTGACTAATAAGTCTTTTTGATAACTGTTAAGCCTAGTATACTTTTAGAAGATAAGTTCTTCTCGGGATTTGGATTTCGAAGCTTTTATTTTAATCTAGTATTGCCAATTATCTTCAGCTAGCATGCAAGAGTACAAATATCAAGCTGATTCAAAAACACGAAGGATCCTCATTAGGATCTGACCACTAAATTATTATCTCATAGAGTATATAGATACAAATGCAGTCTGTATCAGACCATATCTCATATAGGCTAGATTGATGCATGTGTGAATATACCTTGTTCAAAATTATATATTTTTAATTCAACAAAAACGTATGTCATAAAAAACCGATTGCTACAAAGCACAGTCACATTCAGTCAGTCAGTTAGACATTGAGCTACTTACCATTGGAGATTTGTATTTCCTCTGGATTACCTGCCTCGTTTTGGGATCTGAAAAATTAACGCACATGGTATTGCATACTACTCGTTCAACTAAAATTTACTCAGAAACTTACTGAATTCCTCTATGACAAATATATTTCCCTTCTGCGTGAAGCACTTCCTAATGTGACATATCCTGATGAAGAACTGCAAGATCATAAAGTTATGCATTGAGTAACTTCAGATGAATCACTAAAATTTATAATATCCTATGAACTGGTATGTTCCAAGATCTGCAGATCGTAGTCCTATGTCGCGCAAAAATAGTGGTAACTGAAAAAACTGAAAAAGAATCCTAATAACAAATGACAAGGACATATTTTGAAACTGAGCTCGAGCTAAGGAATATAAAATTAAGTATAAACCAGTTCATAGGACAAGGCAAATATCAGAAGGCAGAAGCAAAGTACAGTCTTTAAAAAACGAAATGCTGCCTTGAGCTCCATCATCTAAGAACTATGCCACTGTAAAAAGTAAACGTGTTTCAAAATAATTTAGCTCCGACACACTAAATCAACCGAATCATCCTATAAACATTTCCACTGAGCTGTAAGACTGCATCAACATGAAATAATGTTCTGACAAAACATGAGTAAAGTCTGCATACTTCAAGAAACCCGATGGACAGATTTCAAATATTACACATAGGAGTGCTGAGCAAAAAATAGAAAATGCACTGCTAGCGGCATACGTTAACGACACGAGGACTAGAGATATGAGGTTAAGCTGCGGAAGGGTATGAAGCCAATCCTGTCGCCAATGACGGTGTGGCTTTCCGAAATGTGGTTGGAGTAGAACATGGCACAGATCGTCTGCGCATTGAAAAATGTCAAGATAACCTGCGTCAATCTGTATGCGCATTTCGCTCTAGGTTTACTACTTTGTGGTTTATTAATATTTCTGCTTGCAACTGGTCTGAATTGTCAAAATTGGAGTTGTTTACAGTCGTGATGACAGCAACTGAGACAGACGCCACATGCGCAGAAGCTGAGGTTAATTTTCTGCACAGTGTACCAACTCACTTCCTCGTCAACATTTTTGGTTTTCCCCCTACCCCAAGAGTTCAACCTCATGTCTCTAGTTTTCGTGGTTGGTTCTATCAATCGACACATATAGTATAATTATGGAAATACATGACACGCAAGTGGCTGAGAAATAGTTTGGATTACACGCGATTTTCACGTTTTTTACTCACTAATACCAAAAATTACTTCGCAACTTCGCTAGATTGGACCGATCATGTCTCTTCAGTTCCATGTCTACCAATTAATGCATTATCTACTTTTCCTCATGCCTCTAGAATCGTAAACAGTCCTACAGTCGTATCTGTTATTAACCTTCTGCGGAACGAATTTTCAGTTTACCGGAACAAACCAAATTTTCTTAAGACATCCTTCTTGAATCGAGCCATACAAGTCCAAAACCCTATGTGCTACGAAATAGCCGTCATGTTAGACGATGCACTGAAGCTCTTCGCGCACAGATGAAAGTCATGGCATTTACAACAAAAATGACTTCCAATTTTGGTACCTATATAGTGATTGAGTTACAGGACACAATTTCTCACTACCAATTTTTACGAGGGTCAATTTTAAGTAAGAACCGTTCCGTAATGGAGTCAGAGAAACTTTATTTATGAACGTAAACTGTATCACAAACATAAACATGAACCTTTTTTCATTGTGCAACATAGTCACCATAAGCACGTAAATGTCTGTGAAGTCATGACACCAGCTTTTGGATCCCGTCGTTGAAGCTGACGCCTGACCGTTAAACCGGTTATTAAATGTTTCTATTTTTATATACTGATGCTTAAAGAAACTTTGTCAATCCGATTCTGAACTTCTCAAGGCTAGGAGGATTGGGAGAAGCCTGCTCGGGTAGGTTGTTCCACAGTCTCGACAACCTAGGGACAAAAGAACGGTCGTATTAACCAGTTCTGGATGTTCAATGTCCAACACGGTTAGGATGGGATTCCGACATTAGATAGGTTTGTCTGTCAGGCACATCGCGCGGCAGCATCATTGAGGAGAGCCCTGAGGAGCAAAGCCCGTTGACATTAAATGCTCCCGAGAATCTCCGTTAGAGAAGAGTCATCAATCGGACAGATACTATGCAACATGGATATTGTAATCAGGGCGGCAGCACCCCAAACATGTAAACAGTCCTCAAGGCTAGGTCTTATTTGTATCTTGTTCTGCCATAAACATATAGCTTAGCCTTTTACCAGTATCTGCCGCTATTGATATTATCTCCAGCTCACCGGCTTGTCAGCCTGAAATCCTACATGTAGGGTGCAGTCGTCAGCAAAATAATGGATCAAATTGATCGTACAGGAAAGGAGTTCGTTGAAATGTAAGAGGAACCCGTAAATTACGATGGATGTCTTGGAACCAGAGAGGAAGTCAGCCGCCCATCTGCAAAGCTTCTCTGGTCGGCCATAGGATGGAGGTTTTCATAACAAGGCAGCACGCCACAGCTGATCAAAAAATTTCATGATATCAAGAGCAACTACACTGGCCTTTTCGTCCACAATTGTGTGACATAAGCTAGGAGGATCCCCGCGGATGACTGGTGCCTGTCGCTGATCAAGCCGTGATGTTCTGCAGAAGTTTCGGATTTGTGCATCTCTCCACCTTACTTATAAGAGAAAGCAGAGCAGTTTAAAGGGTTGGTCTTTGATGCCTTATTTGAGATGGGCTTTACATGGGCAATTTTCCAGTTTTCAGGAAGAGTGCTGGATTCGTAAGATATCTGGAAGAGACGTGAAAGAATTGAAGCAAGGTTCGCTGCACATTTCTTCGTTACAACGACATGAACAACAACAACAACATGTCATGATTTTCTAAGTAATGACCACTTAGTTATTCCTTGAGTTTTCGGAAAAGAAGGAAAGATGATGATACTAAGTCAGGCTGAAGGTGACTAATTTTCGAAGAAATTCTTGCAGTTATGTCTGTGTTCTTTCCGCGACGCGTGGGCGAGCATAGTCGTGAAGCAGAACGACGCTGCTAGAGAATAACGGGCATAATTCAACAAGCTTCAAGCAAGAGAAACATTTTTGCATTTAAAAACCGAATTCCTAAGCGTATTTCACATCGACGGGTTTACGTGGCGACAAATAAAGCAGTATAACCACACAACCAACACCGGCAAAGACGTGAAACGTAATAGTAGCATAGTGAGAGACTGGCCAAGAGTGTCTAAGGTTGAGCGGACGTCACATAACAGGATTCATGGGCACGATGCGCATTTGGTTCTTACTCTAAATATGGCCCTCGTACTATTCTATACTCATTCATCACAATATGAAGTTTGCATTCAACTAATATGGTCCATTTCAAAGCATTCGGACTTTGATGTCTGAAGATGTACCACAAGGGACTAATGTTTATAGGCGCCTAAGATGTAATCCTTAAATATGTATGTAGAGGTGTGTTCATATCAGAAATATCATAATATACACAACTAAACGCCGGACAGATGTTTAGATCCCCATGGAGACAATTTGTCCAGTATCTTTGAATGTAAGTGGCACGTAGTTAAGGGTAACGTCTAGAAAATAACCCAACGTTTCCGTTTATGGCAGTTTATCGCAGAGATGGATGCGGAAAATGGTTTACAACATGTGATATAAAATATTCAGTCACATTGTAGAAAGTGAATGTGACTTTAGTATACATAAGACAACGTTTGAAGTATGCTTTTGAATGCAAACCAGACAAACCTAACAAGACACAAGGAACCAAAGACATTAATAATACAATGATGCATGTCAGTTAAGATACACGTCCGTCTTCCTAACATGGATAAAAAGTTTTATATGAGATAATTTGATGTATTTTTCGCCTTGTAACCCATATCTTGAACATCAAGAAAGAAAAAGAACCGATTCATTTCTGGGCAACTTATGAATATTATCAGGTAGTCTGACCTTTAGTTTCATGTCCATCGATGTACCCACAATTCTGTCTGACCACCAAATTGTATGTTGATCCTCAATCTTCAACGGGTTCCTAAAAACTCTGAGCAGCATTTTGAATCTTTCCGACTGTACAGTACAAGCGAAAAGCACTACATCATGCTTATAGCTCTAGGCAACTTTAGAGATGGTTTATGATACCCTACAAGTCATTATATCTAAGGACGGTGTTAGAAATGGAAGGTGTTCTAAGTGATTGTGTTGTTGAAACTATATTTCTGTGCAATTCAGTGTGATCTGTTAGCCATGCTCGTAATAGTATATCATTGTCTCTATTTGTCGTTTCTCACTCTGCGCTTGAAGCAAACTACACTAGCCCAATCAACAAATGGATCAATTCAGTAAACCAGGAATTTTGTAAAAATTGAAAACTTGTGTAATAGATCGGTTACGAAATAAAAAAGTAATCTGGATTTTAAAGACTACTGTGGAGACTTGTTAGATTGATCTTGAACAACCACCAAATAAATAATGTCAAAAGACGATCTTGTTTAAGATCACGAGTAAACCCTAAGTATATTTTTTCTCAAGCTTGGTAGTACCATAGGACTAGAAGCAGCGAAGTCCGGTGCAATACAACTAGAAAATCATGATTTCAGTAGTGTAATTAATAATAGCTATGTTTTACAAATCTGTCTAAAAAATATCAAATTTCAGATCTTAGCATCTATCCACGGTTCATGGTTCACAGAATTGATCCGTCTCCATCTTATTACGAAGTTGTTAGGTTTTCTCAAGTGAAATGATCTTAGTATCAATACTACAGCTTCTTGTAGTAATGTAATTAATAATAGCTATGTTTTACAAATCTGTCTAAAAAATATCAAATTTCAGATCTTAGCATCTTTCCACGGTTCATGGTTCACCGAATTGATCCGTCTCCATCGTATTACGAAGTCGTTAGGTTTTCTCAAGTGAAATAATCTTAGTATCAATACTACAGCTTCTTGTAACACATTGCAATTATGTCACAATAATTAAAAATTTTAGATGGCGAGGGTTTTAAGATTGGTGTCAAAACGCGCTGGATTCGCATCTGGTAATGGAACCAAAAAAAGGTACGTATTAGAGATGCTTTGATGGAAACTGCTTTGACGAAGTGCAAGTCATAAGAGTTCTCTCATGGTTACACTCGTACAAAATTTCTAGAAACATTCACCACCACCACTTTATAA